CATCCATCCAAGCATTAATTTGTAGGTGCGACTTTCATCCCCCCCTTTCCATCCACCCCCCCTCCCATCATTTCATTCTCGTCTCCAGCCCCCCCAAACGCCCCGTGGTATTTCCCCCCCAGACAAAGAAAAAAAGACGGAAAGCAACGACGACGCATGCCCATCCCATCCAGATCGGCAGCGCAGCTGTCCCCCTTGTAATATAAAACGAGTATATATATAACAGAATCAGAACCTCTATGCACCACGCCTCACGCGCCACCATCTATCGGTGGAACGACGTCTGCGTAGGTGGCGGGCTCTTGACGGCCTGGCCGGCATACGCGCCCGGGATCGGGACGGACTCGTACTGCTGCTCGCCGGCGGCCATGGGCGCGGGCTCGTTGATTCTCGGCGCGGGGGGTGCCGGCTCGGTCAGGGGGAAGCCGCCCTTGGGGGTGATGGGCGTGGCCGGGTTGGCCTTGTGGGGCGCGGGCTGGAGCTTGAAGCCGCCCTCCTTGGGGGTGAACTGGGACTCGGGGATCACGAGGCGCTTGCCGCCGGGGGTGAAGGGCGAGGCGTTCTTCTCAATGTCGCTGTCGAGGTTCTGGTAGTTGGTGGGCGCGAAGCGGGGCGACATGGCGTACTGGGAGAAGGCGGGCGACTTGGGGCCGAAGCCGGGCGTGTTGGGGGCCGACTGGGAGCGGAGCTGGGCGAGGTAGAGATCGGAGCGGGCCTTGTCGCGCATGTCCATGGACTTATGCAACTTGCGCTTGGACCAGTAGCGGTAAAAGACGACGCTGTAGAGGATGATGCTGATGACTTCGATAACGAGCTCGATGATGATGCAGACGAGGGTCCAGTTCTGTTGATGCTGTTAGCAATGGTCACGCACACAAAGGAGGAAAGGGACGTACCTGGAGGCGGCAGACGAGCGGGTAGTCGACCTTCTCGCGGAAGAGCTCGGATCGGTGGTTTTCGACGCAAGCCCATCCCCACATGTCCTTGTTCTGACTGTTGTTTCTCGAGTGTTGAAGCACGCCAGCTGCCACGGCCCACATGACCATGCTGAAGATGAACCAGCCGACGGCGAACATGGTGTAGTAGACTCCGACTTTCTCGGCCCGTTGGTGACCACCACGGCAGTATCCGACAAAGACGATGATGCAGAGCAGGAGAGAGAAGCAAGCGCAGCCGAGAACGACCTTTTGGGGCCAAGAGGTGGTGTTTTCGGCCCATGGTGGGAGACCGTTCATCGAAGGGAGGGCTCGGGTGGCGTTGAAGATGGCAAACGAGGACGAGATCATGGCCATGATGATCAAGCTGCAGCTGAAGCTCACGCTTCGGAGGGCAAACTTGGCCATGCGGACGCGCGTCTTGATTTTCTGCGAGGTTGTTAGTCAGGGGCCGGCTGGGTTGCCTCTCGCCAGGGGCACTCACGAGATCACGCTTCTGGTCCTTCTCGGTCGACTTCTCCTTCTTCTCCAGCATCTCCTCCTCGCGGAACGTCGGGCTCAGGGGGTTAGAGAGCCCCTTGCCCGGCGTCCCTGGCACCTTCATGGCGCTCTTCAACGGCGACCTCGGCGTCATGGGCATGGTGACCGACTCGCGCTGGCCTCCCCCGATGTAGCCGAAGCCAACATCTCCTGGCTGGGACTGGGCGACCATTGTTCTCTCGGAGAAGGGAAAGGATTTTGGCTCGACGGGCGAGTGGACTGCTGTGGCCTCGGCGAAGCGAGGAGTCCTCGGTGGTTTGGCGAGGGACGAGGATGTGGAGGATGTGGATGTGGACGAGACGGAACCGCCGGACCTGGTACGGGAGGGAGCGAGGTTCAGGGCAAGTGGCCTCTTCTTTTCGTCGTAGTTCATGATAGGCGTCGACTACTGTCCGGGACAGCAAGGGAAGGCAAAGGAAGAACCAGTCTTCTGTCGGTATACGGGCCGCGTGTTAGTGGTGGCTGGGTTGGAGTTGGCGACGACAGGACCACTTCAGGCTCGGAGCAGAAGGGAAGCTTGGGTTGTATATGGAGACGGGAGAGTCCAGCTGCTGGAAGCAGAAAGGAAGGGTTCCAGAATAGGAGGGCGAGGCGCCGGGGGACGGTGGTGGTTTTGAATAGCCGCTGCCACTACCACTGACACGGCAGCCGGGAAGTGGTCTAGGTGCGAGGCTCGCCGCTTGCGTGCTGCAGGGTGTGTGAGCAAGCTTGCGCGGAGAATGGCAGTGGGGACTGGGTACCTTTAACAGGGGGGGTGGGAGTGGGAGAGGGTCGGGCGACGGGTAGATGGCGACGCTGATAGGAGGACGGCTCGATCTGCCAATAAAGGCCGGGCGACTCGTGATGGAAATAGACGCCCAGTCGGTGACGGGGTGGCAGAGTGGCACCGACAGACAGTCAAGGCCAACAGAGCGGCCAGTTTTGGTGCAAGATGACTGGGTCCTCGGAAAGGCCTCTTGTCTCTTTGTCCGGTGCCTGTCCTGTTCCTGCGTACCGTACCTGGGTTCCGTTGTCCTCGTGGAAGGACAATGGAGATATGAAAGAAGTCGGTGGGTTCTCGAATCGACTCAGCCCTCGGGGTCAACAAGAGACAGAGACACGATGGAACAGGATATTTGCCCGGTGGTGGTGTTTGCTATCAAGACGGAAGAGGAGAAGATGGAGGGGGCTGGAACTGAATATAGAACGGTCCTGTTCCCCCTCCCCTCTCTCTCGCTGGGAAAGGCCGGCAGAGACTGACAAAGTCCCGGTCGGGGGAACAGACAGCGGACAGCGGACAGCGGACAGCGGTCTCGCGTGGTCGAGGACGAGAGACCGAGAGAGAGACAGAGCTTGGCGCCCATGTCTTCAGCAGCACCCGCGAGGCGCATATGCGTGTGCGTAGCATCCATTGGCTCAGGGCGGCTGGTCGATGAGAGAGCTTTTGCCGTCGAGAGGGCGCCGTCGACCAACGGCAGGACAAGACGGGCGGAACCAAGACCGAGAGGGGTTGTGGTTGGGCGGGACGGCGGCAAGAGAGCGACGACCCCCCGCCCCCGATCTTGAGTGGACCGTCGACGTTTGCCTGTGTTCCTCCCGCCCTTTCCCCCCCGGCCTCTCCCTCCCCCTGTCACCGATCACCTGCGTTTATTGGCCTGGTCCAAACACGCCGCCAATCACCGCCCCGGAAGCCGTGATCGCGCTGCCGGTCATGCATGGGGCTGGCGGCACGCCCGTGCCACACAGACGCTGAATCTGCAGAGCACGCTCGGCAGCACTGCACTGTCCTCGCAACCCCTCCATCACCCATGGTCCGGTGCAACCTGGGCGCTCACGAACCCCGACGACGCATCGTTGCACGCCTGGATGCACACTCTTGCTGGGCATCACCAACCCCGCATCTGCTGGCAGAGAAGAGAGGGAGAGTATATCCCGCCGTGCTGTCGAGATCAGACCATCTTTTGTTACTATGGATAGATTCCATTCCAACCCAGGTCCGCTGACCGAAGCACACCGGCGAACAATGTCCATCTTTTCCAGAGACGAGACAAGACGACGAGAGTCGAGACGATGGACCGGCGATAAGCCTCCGATGAGGCAGCCCGGCCCAGCACCATGGTCCTATCGGTTCGGGGGGGTATGCACTATAAAATGCTGACACCATGTAAGATTCCACATGCACCGCCGCGGCCATGAGGGCATATCGGCACTCTGGAAAAAGTTTTTCAAATTGAAAAGCTTCTAAACATTTGCGCTGCCATGCGACCAGCTATATGCCGCAAAGCGAACCCCTTGGAAAAAGGCTGGAAGCGAGCGACACCGTCCCTTTTTTGCATTGTCCCGGCGGCGCAGCCCGACGTCGAAAGTGATGACCCATTGCCCCGCCGAGAGAGACGGGAGATGCGAGCTCGCTGCGAGGATCCGAAGGTCGAACCGATCAGATCCGGCTTTTAGCCCAGACCGGCCTTTTTTTACCCACAGAGCAACACACCATCACCATCATTTTGCCCGAACCTCACATCCAGATTGGTATTTTTAGCCCACAACCCGTCAACGACGCAGGAGACCTGCATTTGCTGCACACCATACTTTTAGCCCAACGTTTTCTTGATTTTGCCCACCAACTCGGCCGGCCCATGTCAGCGCTGCACCGAAGGAGCCGGGACGTTCGCCGGCACAAGGACGGGACGGGACATGGGTGGGGAAGGACGCTCGGTGTCTCTCACGGCTCGGCGCTCCTCGCACCCGATGCACAATCAACCAGACGGCGCAGGCACACGTTCAAAGTCTATTTTCTGGTGTATGGATGCAAGACACCATCAGAGCCATACATGACACTACTGAATGCATTCATCCAGGGGAGGGCGGACCGTAAATGGCCACGAGGGCGGCATCCGCAGCGGCCAAGGCCGGGGGGTTGGTGGCCCTGGCAGCGCCCCGCAATCGGCCCAACTGCCGGAGGACCATGTTGCCGGCCTCGGGAAGCTCCGGGCGCAGGATCGAGGATTGTGAACCCAGCGAGCCCGAAAGTTGTTTCTTCAAATGGCATATGCGTCAACCTTATCTTTCGTGGGACACATTGCCGGGTTTGTTCTTGGACTTTTTACTTGACCAGTTTGCAGCCCGCCTGCTGAGCAAAGTCCTACGATGCATCGTTGAAACCGCCCCAGATCGGATACATGTCAAAGGCACAGCGGCCACGGATACAGACCCAACCGAGATCGTGGGATTCTTTTTTTGTGTCTCTCTCTTGTTAAAGACTTGTCAACCCAGGGGCTGTGCTGTTGCTTATATCGCCCCTGACGCAACACAACCTCACATAACCAACCCAGCCGCCAACTACCTACCTATATTCAAATCTTGTCGCGTTGAGATATTGTTTACGACTCCCCTTCTCTCATTCGCCCACGCATCGTTCAAGTATATCTACAATCTACATGTATGGGGGGTGGATTATGCCGGTCTCCTCCCACATCCACATGTCCTGTCCACCTCACCAAAAGCAAAATTACAGACCCATCCACATATCCACAACACAATCATCAAACCTGGTTAACTCAGCTGGTTAGAGTGTCGTACTAATACAGTCTTCTCCTGTATCTTGTAATGCGAAAGTCGGCGGTTCAATCCCGCCACTGGGTAATTGTTTTTTTTGCTTCTGATGTCTTTTTTGGAAGTGGTGTGTCGTTGATTCGGGAATTGAGACTTGAGAAGATAGCTTAAAAGCTGTGGAAAGACATCGAGTTTGGAACCCCAAGACCTTGTCATGAGATTCGCGGACATCTTTGACTAGCAGATCATGTGTATGTCGGTTCACCTCGCCTCGTGAACATTAAGGCAGCTGACATTGAGATGCCGCCTTCCTTGATCCTTGAGGCAGACAGCAGTCTTGCCCTGCACCAGTGCTCGTGGATGGCCGCGTTACATCTCTGTAGAACTAGACTTTGTGTTGTCATGACGCCTTCCAGTATTGTAAGATCTCTCCGTCTGCGCGCTGTGAGCTGAGGCAGAATCTTGCGCAGATTAGTATGTGTCAGTACACTGCACTCCCTGCATATTGGCACCAGTTAGACTTCAAGATGATACGCTTCAGGCGTTGCTTATGTCTACGCAACGACGGGATACACCAACACAGGCAATGCTCCAGCTGCCATGTGGGATTCTCACAGAGGCAGCTGTGCCCGTAAAATATGACGCCTGTGACAGAGTCATCTAGCCCCGCGGCAAACCCAACAGCCTCATAGGAAGCGCGAGAAAAGACGTGTGTATGCTTTCCGCAACTCGTTGAAGATAGTGACAGAGCCGTGGTTCGGGCGGCGGTGTTGCCTGGTTCGCCTACGGGATGGCGTTGTTGAACCCTTGGGAGTGACCTACTTGGAGAAGCATCTTAACCAAGTCCAGATGATGTCCGGAAGTGCCAATATGTCAATCACATTAAATGGCACGTGAGACTTGTCTTGCGTTGAACTGGGGGTTAATCACTGGGACTGTGCCAAGGGCAAGAGACTGGGCGGGTGGGGGAGTGAAGTCGAGCCGTGGTTTCCTCGTGAGTTCCAATCGAGCCTTGGGAATATGTCAAGATTTAAAAACTGCAATCAAATTCATGTGTAACATACATCAGCCAACCGATTCAAGGTGGTAAAGTGAATTTGCAGTCAAGTTGTCGACTTCATCTTCTTATCGCCTTATCGGCCACCGTGGGGCAGTGGAGCTAACCCAATCCGGACTAGTATTGTGCGGGACTCAGCCAAGGATGAGTCGCAGCATTCATGACTGCACACGAAAATCGGGTTCGAAATATCAACCACCAGTGAATCCCAGCTACCCCACGTCGTGATTCACTACCGCCGACTCGACCTGCAAAGTATTTTACCGTCGCCAACCACGCCACGGCCTCTCCATCCCCGACCCAACCACCCACCCTCCGCAACGAACCGCGACCCGACCACCCTCCGCAGAACCATCCCACGAACCTGCCCCGCGTTTCGTTTTCATCATGGCGGCCAACGGCGACAAGTTTGGCAACGACATCGAGTCGGACTCGGACTCCGGCAACGAGTCGCAGATTGATGCCCAGGACTCCGACAATGATATCCAGGAGAAGCCCCTCAAGTCGTCGATGAAGAAGGACGTCCCGGCCCCCCAAGTCGAGAAGCCCTTTCTCCCCCCGCAGACCGAGCCCAAAGACCTCGACGTCAAGACCCTGTCGCCCTTGACCCCCGAGATTATCGCACGGCAAGCCACCATCAACATTGGCACCATCGGCCATGTCGCTCACGGAAAGTCGACGGTCGTCAAGGCCATCTCGGGTGTCCAGACGGTCAGATTCAAGAACGAACTGATCCGCAACATTACCATCAAGCTCGGCTACGCCAACGCAAAGATCTACAAGTGCGACAGCCCAGAATGCCCTCGGCCGACATGCTACCGGAGCTACAAGAGCGACAAGGAGGTCGACCCGCCCTGCGAGCGCGAGGGCTGCACAGGCCGATACCGTCTCCTTCGCCATGTCTCGTAAGACCCCAACTGGTCCCCCGATGTGTTTCCGGACAGTGCTAACAAACGCCAGGTTCGTCGATTGCCCCGGTCACGATATTCTCATGAGCACCATGTTGTCAGGCGCCGCCGTCATGGACGCCGCCCTCCTTCTGATCGCCGGAAACGAATCCTGCCCTCAGCCCCAGACCTCTGAGCATTTGGCCGCCATCGAGATCATGAAGCTGGACAAGATCATCATCCTCCAGAACAAGGTCGATCTGATGAGGGAAGAGGCCGCCAAGCAGCACTACGAGTCGATCCTCAAGTTCATCCGTGGTACCGTGGCTGGCAAGTCCCCCATCATCCCCATCTCGGCCCAGCTCAAGTTCAACATCGACGCCATCAACGACGCCATTGTCAACACGATCCCCGTTCCTCCCAGGGACTTCTCCCAGGAGCCCCACATGATTGTCATCCGCTCCTTCGACGTCAACAAGCCCGGTGCCGAGATTGACGAGCTCAAGGGCGGTGTTGCTGGTGGCTCCATCCTCCACGGTGTCCTCAAGCTCGGCGACGAGATTGAGATCCGCCCCGGTATCGTCACCCGCGACGACAAGGGCGACCTCAAGTGCACGCCCATCTTCAGCCGCATCGTGACGCTCAACTCGGAGTCCAACGATCTCAAGTACGCCGTGCCCGGTGGCCTGATTGGTGTCGGTACCCGCATCGACCCTACCCTGTGCCGTGCCGATCGTCTCGTCGGCTTCGTCCTCGGCCTCAAGGGAAGACTCCCCGAGATCTACAGCGAGATCGAGGTCAACTTCTACCTCCTCCGCCGCCTCCTCGGTGTGCGCACGGCCGACGGCAAGCAGGCCAAGGTCGACAAGCTGGCCAAGAACGAGGTCATCATGGTCAACATTGGGTCCACGTCGACGGGCGCCAAGGTGTCGGCCATCAAGAAGGATGCCGCGAAGCTGATCCTGACCAGCCCGGCGTGCACAAAGATTGGCGAGAAGGTTGCTCTCAGCAGACGTATCGAGAAGCATTGGCGTCTGATTGGCTGGGCCAACATCACAGCGTACGTTTTCCATCTCCTCCACTCCTGTGTCAACATGATGACTGACAAGCAACCACAGAGGTGTCACCCTGGAGCCAGCGACTGCCTGAGCGGTCAATACGGATGATTTTTGCGGTGTTGGGGGTCATTTGCGAATTGTGAGCCGGTTATCTTAGGTAGATAGGTAGCTGACCTTGGTCCACAATCATGGCGTATATGCCGTCCGTCTGTCCATTTTCTTGCAGCATGGGGGCTGTTGGTGGTAGACTAAAAGCGGAGAGAATGAAGGCAATCAATGATTTTATGAGACACTGGTTCAAATGTGGCCTTGGTAGAAGATGTAGAGCCTGATTGTCCTTCGGACGTGATGTATCCTCCAGGATGGCTGAAGTCGGCTCTTCTCCTCCCCTGTCTCTCTTCCTACAGTACTGAGAATAGGAGAACTATGTCTTCTTGTCATGACCGGAGCCTCTCAAACGAACAGCAAGTCTTCAGTACCCAAGTTCACGTGATCAAAGGCTGAATTTTCACTTGTGGCATCTCGGGGGCCTCATCTCATCAACTTCACCCCAGTCAAGATCCAGCAAAATCCATCAACCACGCCCGCAACCACAACCACAGCCGCGGAGTACCAACCCACCATACCCAAACAAACACAACCCTCTCCACCCCCCCATCCCAGTACCCAGACCAAACATGCCCCCCCCAACCTACTACGAAATCCTCTCCCTCCCCCCCTCCCTCCTCACCACCACCACCCCGTCCTCCTCCCCATCCCACCACCAACAACTCCTCAAGCGCGCCTACCGCCGCGCCCTCCTCAACCACCACCCGGACAAAACCAAAACCAACACCACCACCACCAAACCCAGCACAACAACAACCACACCAAGAACAGCCACAACGAAGACGACATACACAATCGACCAAATCACCCTCGCCTTCACCACCCTCTCCACCCCCTCCCTCCGCGCCGCCTACGACCGGGACCTCGCCCTCCTCACCACCGCCCCGCAAGGAGAAAAGCACCACACCGGCCTCGAGACCGTCGACCTCGACGACCTCTCCTACGACGACGACGACGGGGAGTGGTTCCGCGCGTGCCGGTGCGGCAACCCGCGGGGGTTCCGGGTGGGCGAGGAGGACCTCGACGAGGCTCTGCTCGAGCAGCAGCAGGCAGGGGAGGGGGCGGGCGGCGCGGGGGAGGTGGTGGTGGGGTGCGTGGATTGCAGTTTGTGGTTGAGGGTGTTGTTTGCTGTTGCTGTTGAGGAGCACGAGGACGAGGGGGAGGGGGAGGGGGGCAAAGGGGAGGGGGGCAAAGGGGAGGGGGCCGGGGAGAGAGGGTAGGTTTTGGTTGATCGAGGCATGGATGCGTGGAAGGTGTATACACTCCAGCCCTGGTTCGGTTGTTAGCTTGGGACATTAAAGCACTAGCTAGGTAGTCCAGGCGGCCACCCGGACGGTGAATGAAGGCCATGAAATCAAAACTGGGGGCTTGTGGTTGCGTAAACAGCCTTGCAAGATGAGAATCGGTCCTCGCTTTGTTGGCGAGAGGTCTCGCGCTAGCAAACGAACCGGTACTGGACTGTATAGTTGGTAGCTGGGCTGGTCATCGGTTCGTGAAGCAGAGGTTGGTGATGACAGCTTGGGCTCAGGGGTAGACCGAGGTTTCCTCGCCAACATGGTCGCAGCCAGGGAAACATCAAGTCAACACCAACACTTTGCAGCCTTGTGCAGGGGTTTTGGCTTTATTGTCCAGACGCTTTTCTGGCGAGAGATGCTAGTTTCTAAAAGCAAGCAATCCGAGAAACAAACCCTCCAATGCTCTGCTCTCTAGCCCTCTAGCTCTCGGCCATTACCAGGAGTCGCCCACCCATCTTAAGTCTGTATTTTGCGCAGAAATTGCAAAGGCACTTGGGCGATCTCCTGCCCACACTCCAAAGACACCGTTTCCCCCGGGTTTTGCCAAGCAACCAGGACTCTCGCGACCCCGACACCAAGAAAATGCACGACACCGCTTACTACTCGGCCTTGGGCTCCTCAGCCGCCGGCGCAGCCGGGGCGTCCGCCTTGGGTGCCTCGGCCTCGGCCTCGGGCTGGGCAGCGG